CCTGGGAGACAAATGAATTGAAATGCTACATGGCCAATGGAAAAGGGTGGACACCAGCAGTGACAGACCTGGGAGACAAATGAATAGAAATGCTGCATGGCCAGCGGAAAAGGGCGGACACCAGTAGTGACACAAAGGGCGGACACATCTTAAGAAAGAATTGAGAACCCCTAACAGTAAACTGTTTGGGGAATAATTAGCTATTGGACCTGCTAGAAAACCACAGCTAGTTTGTAACAAATGTTGCCCTTCTCAAAAGGTTTGAACGATCCAGCAACAACGACAACACCGAGGCCCAGTGCATCCAATGCCGCTTGTGCGTCCAAAGCCGCCTGGGTGAGATCTCCGAGCAAAACAACTCACCGGAGCCGATCCAATGGATCCAACCATTGCAAGTGACTTCATACGTCTGAGGATTAGAGATTACGTCTTTCAGGGGGAATCACACAATCACATGTCACATGCCATCCAAATGCAGCAACATCCCGAGTGACAACTTGCCACCGTGGCAGCTTCTGCACCGCCTGCGTTTGCGCTTGGGCATTGGCCTGATCCAGACCAGCCTGCGAAGCGGTGACTGCCAAACTTCCAAAGGAGTTGGGAACAAAGCAGTTTAAGGCAACGAAAGGAGAGCAAACTTGCAGAAAAGCTGCCAGTGGAAGGCCGCCCAAAGACAGGCTGCCCAGATTGCCCAGTGAAACACCTGCCGCTTGCGCTGCTTGCTGGGCGGCAGCCTGTTGTGCCGCTTGCTGCACTGCTTGCTGAGCCTGGGAAGGTGGCGGCAAGGCTTGTGCTGCTTGCGCTGCTGCTTGCTGTGCCGCTTGCTGCGCGGCTGCTTGCTGCGCCGCCTGCTGTGCGGCCGCTTGTTGTGCCGCTTGTTGGGCGGCTTGAGCTTGTTGGGCTTGGGCTGCTTGAGCCTGCTGCGCCTGCTGAGCTTGAGCCTGCTGTGCTTGCTGGGCACGCACCTCAGCCCCGATAAACCAGCCCATGCGCGGGCCAATCTCGTAGTAACAGTATGAAGCTGCAAAACATCAATGCATGAGTTCTTTGTCGTGAGAAGCTCCGCAGAAATCATATGGGGCAGCTTTTGTCCTCGAGTTAGCCAGCAGATCTATGCATCAGGTTTGCAACCTGCATCGAGAAGGATGGCTCAAAACATGTAAGCAGAAATGATAATGTTCCAACAAAAAATAATGTTCCAAACACCCGCGCCTTCGATTCTCAACGTCATCTGCGGGAACCACTTCTGTCCATCGCCTGAGGCACAAAAACAAGGGTGACAGGAGTCACAGCCATAAAAACACACTGTGTTTCAGTGAACTCGTGATACATCCAATGCGTCAGTACTGCTGTTGACCTCATCCACCAACACTGACGCCAAACTATAGGAGACCGACGAGAAGTACGCGCTCCTTCTGTCGCATGTATTAGTCTTACGTAGTACCAGTGAATGGCAGTTCTGTTCGGACCATAAGCGCTCAATCTGTACATATCTGTCCATGCCTGATATGGCAGTTCTGTTCACATAGTTCTGCAATATCTATATAGATGTGTGTCGGAGTCGGCCCACCCCATCCCATCCAGCCCTTGGCACCTCAGTCTGTCTACGGGATCCGAGCCAAGCTGAACCCAGGCAGCACCACCAGTACTGGCACATCGTCTCTTCACCTCTGGCTCCAGATTCCTGATTCCAGGCATCTTCTGCTCAAACCGTCATCTTCCTCTTGAACCGTCTTGAACCACATGCTTTCTGCCCAAAGTGTACATGGGTTCTTTTATCATTTAGCAATGCAAAAAAAACTGCAGGCCGATGCTATGTCACATCTTAGTCTATGCACTCATCCAAGAACGAACATGTGACCATGTTATGGCTTAAAATGCATGCATCTGGAAAGCAAAAGTTGTCTGTCATCTTATCACAAGACTTTCACTACGCCTTCAAATCGACTTTAGGTTCCATGGCCACGTGTTTTTGAGTATGTTATTTGTACCAAGCAGAGTTACCCCCCTATGGCAAAAGTGAAAAACAAACAGGACAGTTGAGACCGGCTCCTGAGCAGGCTGAACAGATTGATCCCTTCTTGCAAAGGTAGCCAGTCCAGGAAGGTCGCCCAATCCTTGTGCTCCTTGACCTGCGCCACTTTTGCAGCTGTCCCTACGCATGTTTCAGAGCTTGTCCCTGCGATTCGGCCGGGCGACGGCCTTTGCGCACACAGTGTGTTCAAAGACGTGCTGTTCAAAGACGTGCAAAAAAAAAGAAATATATATATATATATGTGTCTTAGGATGACTGGCCTCCCACGCCATGCGGCCAGACTGAACCACCTTGCAAAAGGACTTCAATGGCTCCCTTCCAAGGCCTCTCAAGGGGCAACCAGTAAGACCAAGAGTGGCAGGAGAAACTGTTTATTGGAAATCATCCACACATTTGCAGACCGGTATTCTCGATCTGTCAAAAACATGGGGGGCCCTCCATGGAGTTCTGAAAACTTCCCAGCAAGTTGGCATCATCAGCACAGTAGCGAGAAGCTCCGACTTTCTTGACCCTTGGCTGTGTCTCACACAAAGCAGACAAAAACAAAAAGAACCTGTTCTTCGTGCGAATCAGCTCCACCTCTAGCTCCAAGGCCGACTGCATGAAGAGTGATCCTTTCTGAGAAAGACTGTTTTGACCCCGAACACCCAAAAGGCAACACCGGGATTTAGGCCACACTCCAATGAGGGACACACTGTACCGCCTTTCAAGGCTGCTCCACTTGAATTGATATGTCAATCCAAAAGGTGAACTTAAAGACCGCCAATCAGGAGCTGTTTCGCCTCCATCCGGACACGCAAGATCTGGCGGCAGTCCTTTCGTGGAATGGGCTCATCGCCGAGGTCAAAGCCAGCTTCACCAGGTCCTTGCGTCAGCATGCTTGGATGCTTTGTAGGAATCGAGCCAAGTGTCTCTGAAAGGCCAACGAATTTGCTGCAAGTGTCTCTGAAATGTGATTTCGGAATTCTTGCTGTGGCACCTCATGTGCACAAGGGATGGCGCTCCTCGGGGAGAGTGCTGCCACAGAAGGTCAGCAGGACGTGTTTGTGACTGGGTGCTAGAGCAACCTGCTCTGGCCCGAGAGGCTCCCTGGACACAAGAAAAGGCGTTCCCACTGCTCCTTATGTCATGCTCCGGCAAAACTCTCGACCAAGGTGTTTGAAAGAATATCATAGCATTACAATATATCATATGTATACAGTATACTATATATAATAAATCTTCACAGGTGTCCTCCACGTTTTGAACTGGGAAAGTAACTTTACTATGGCATTGTGCACGCAAAAGAGTCTTGGATCTGTTGCCTGACAGCCCAAAGCAAATGCAGGAAGCGCTGCATCTCCAAGTCAACAGCATTGGGGCGGCTTGCTACTGGCAAAAGATCAGCCAGAGAAGTCACCTCTTCACCTTGGAAGTGCAACAATGGTTGGAACTTGGGCACCAAAACTTCGCTCACACACATACATCGCCAGTATTTGGCGAGGAAGGGAGATGTTGAACTGACATGCTTGTGTTGTTTAGGTAGTACTCACGCGCAGAGAATCGACAAAACCTTAAGGGCAACAAGCGTGATGGCTCAAAAGCAAGCTTGCAAGCAGTGGCAAACCAAGTTCATGTTTTGCACAATCTGGCCGAAATGCAGCTGAGGTTCTCCATGTCAACCCAAACTCCAAGCTAATCGACTCAGCCCTGGCGGCGCTTGGCTCGGCCAGTAGAAAATGTGTTCTACAAGACTCAGAAGTTTGACCTGAGGTAGTTTTGACTCCTCGGCCTTTCGTCGAACAAAGACTGCGAGAACCTCGATTCAATGACCTGGTTTTTTGAGGCGACACTGCGCCTTTGGCAAGCAGCAATGCTGTTGTCATGGCAATCACCTTGGTGGACGAGGCTGGTCAGGGATCGACCTGATGTTCAAAGGGCCGTTGCTGTTTTTAGATTCAAGTATAGAGACACGTTGAACATGTTCCTATTCTCACCAGGAGGTTACCCCTGCCGTATGAGCCACTTTGTAGCTTGAGTCTAGTCCATGCTCGCGAATGGTTGGTGCCTTACTCACTGAATGGATTATACACAAATCTTTGCAGTTGGTTTCTGGCGTCCCCGATCTGATTGGGCACATAGCACGTGTGTCTATCATTCTATCTCAGACTCCCCCTGCGCAATAAGACCCCAAGAAGTATGTTTGCCTATGCCACGGTTGTTGGGCGAAGGCACGATATAGATTCAATTCAAACAGAAGGCTGCAAGGAACAAACAAGTCTCACACTGCCTTGATTGAATTGTCTCAAACCACCTGAATCTCAAGCAGTTGTATAATGATGTGTATGTCTATATATTTGTATACACATAATGCCTAATGCTGCTCGGGGTGGTAGCATATGCGTACACTCTTGCAATCTAACAAAAGAATCCGTTGAAAAATTGTGCAGAAAAAGAATGAGCCTGTGAGTCTCATGTGACCTCATGCGTCTTCCCGAAGCCGACACACCTTCATTCTGGGACTCTTCCAAGCGTCTCAGTGTCAATGGATCCGCTGCTCTGGCCATTCCATGTCGCGCAGGGCCATCGCCGCCAAAGTCTCCCGGTGGGGCCCTGGTGTCGCAAGACTTTTGAGATGGCCAACCCAATCGCGTCCTTGCTACTAGTGTCTTCTTGTTACTAGCAGCGATGGCCTCCAACCTACTTGCGATGGCCTCCACCTAATAGCGTCTTTGCTACCCAAGTTCACAAGTTCACAGAAGGAATTCAAGTGCCTCCTTGCGTGGAGCATAGTGACGCATAATCGTCTGGCTCATCTGCTGTGTTCATTCTAGGGCCAACAAACCGCTGCCATTTGCCCCGCGTACCCATGTTCCCCTGGCCTGTCCTGCCACAGCTGCACTGGAGAAGGGCCCACACTCCGCAAAGTGCGCAAACGAGGCAAGGTTGCCAGAGGTCCCAACGGCATGGTAGAAAGAAGGTCCTCTGGAAATCCTGCCAGACACAGCAACCTCCAGGAAGGTTGTCATGACAAACAACATGCTGCTGTTCTCAACCCGAGCCTGTGGCAGTGGAACACCACTTGCCACTTGCTTGCTAGTCTTCTTCATCAACATAGCCTGCTTGTTTTGTTTGAACATTTGGAGATGACTTCCTCATAATATCTTTAAAATCTACTACATAGTCTGTAGTAGTACTGTACGTGCTTGAGTGCATAAACTCTCTTGCCGCTGGGACATTTAATTTGTTGCTGCCTTTATTTAGAATTTGCTCCATTTCGGAATTTCCCCTTTCATAAATAGATCTTACATCTCTCTCTCTCTCTCCCCACCCAGAATCACAACTGTGCTGCTTTCGCCTGCAGTTGCAGCCTTCAGCGCCTCAAGAGCGCGTCCTTGCGCTGCGACTGCAACCACGTGACCCGCCAGCAATAGGGCTGTTGCATGGTGCACAACCACGGGCAGGGCCGTATCCAGGTGCGAAGTACTGCGCAAAGAAGGAAGGGAGGCACTGTGTGGCATGACAGGTCATTCTCTTCAATGCCAAAACTTCTTGGCAAATTATGAAAGGGGAGGCCGTCCATCATGACCAAATTTGGGGTCTTGGTATTGCATTGAAACCTGCTTCGCAAAAACTTGTTCAATGTGGTCTGAGAGTCTAAAGACTTCAACCGGTTTCAAACTTTGAACTGAGGAAGTGGACTGAGAAGTAGAAAGTGTCCTCAATACTGAGAAGTATGTGCGTCTTTGGGGATCGGGATCTACAGTATTTTTTTCCGCCGAAAGACCACGCAACCAACGCCGGCGCAGGAGGATGGGCCAAGTGCCGCGGGCGCAATGCTGCTTGGCCCGATGCCAGGTCTTCGTAGAACGTGCAAAGGTGTTGCCCGCATTGCTCTGTACAGAGGTTCAGCACACCTCGCGATTGGGGAAATATGTGAAATCCGACACAAACCAAAAGCTGCTCAAGGACACAATCTTCCTTCTGTTCTACACATTCACCACGCATCAAGTGCGCAGAGGGTTGTCGTTCGCGACGCGCCTGCACACCAAAAGCTTAGAGAAGACAGAATGCATGGGGAAGTGGATGATGAGATGAGAGAAGAATTCCATAGAATTATTGTCGTTTTGCTTTGCCAAACGGTGAGCAGGCGCATATCATAATGAGATGAGATGAGATGAGATGAGATGAGATGAGATGAGATGAGATGAGATGAGATGAGATGAGATGAGATGAGATGAGATGAGCTTGTGAGCAATTGACCATGAGCATTCGGAATGATATGATGGAAAACTGCTTGGTGCATCTATCTGGGTTTACTAGGTCATTTACCTTATGCCGTTGGCGAATTGGCAAAGTGGGAGGAGAATACACAACAACAAGGGCAAAGATCTTTCCTTCAGCCAGAGCCATGTCTTTGAATGACGCTCGAAGCAGCATGATGTGTAAACAAAACCTCAAAGAGAAGAATAGAAAGTTCCGAAAGAGACTCTCGTTCACGCTCTGCACAGCAAAATCCTCTGTAGCTTATCACAAAAACTCTTCCCGTCCACGCTTCGCGGCTTCGCGCCTGCTGCCTGAGCGACCAAGCCTTCCGCTAAGGCCAAGCGTTCCAACGCCTTCAGCGGATGCGAGGGCCAAGCCGCGACACGCTCAGCCTGAGCTTGGAGCTGCGACCAGTCCTGTAACAAAAGCGACCAGTCTGAGTGCTTCATGTAGGCGTGCTTCATATAGTGCTAGGCTCGTGTTTGTCCCAAGAAGTCCTTCAGGCCGGTCGGCCACTCCACGCAGTCCACTTGAGGCCTTTCGCATGCCAGCAGCAAATGCCTTGTGGGTGCGCTCACAAGTCTTTTGAGAAAGACCACCCGACAACCCAGGTGCACTCACTTGATCCACTTCAGTCCAATCAGTACATCCCTCTACAGACCCCGGCAATGCATTCTTTCCGGGTGAACCAGTTTGTAGTCAGTGAGAATTGCTGGATACAACTCACATATAGCTGAAAATACACCACGCAGTTGCGGCGCACTGAATAGAAAACATCTGGAAGCCACTTAGACTACCAAAGCACATGGGTGAACAAACAGGAGTCATTGGCATTGCCGTTCATCCTTCAACACTGGTAGTATTGCTTTTGCCACCAAAGTGTTGCAAGTCGTCCACATCATCAAAACACAACACAGGCATATGATGTAGTTGGGCATCGCGGAATACCCTGCGGTGGTAACAACCACTTACACAGCGACACAGCGGTGACTGCACACTGGACAGGACTGGGCCTGTGCAGTGAAGATGTGAAGCTTCGGCATCGAATGGCTTGGGGCCACAACACAGGCTGAAAAAGCATTGCCCAGCTGGCCAGAAAACCTGTTTGCCGCTTTTGCCTATCTTTCTGCCACAAATCAAGCTTACAATTGTCTCGCAGGCGGACATGTTAAAGCCTGTGAGCATCTGTTGGGGTCTGTTCGTTGTCTAGGCTTCATGTTGTGGCACATGGTTGGTGTTTTCACAGAGCTTGTTAGATTAAGCACAATGTTTCTTTTCACCATGTCGTGTCACATGACTTGTCAACAGCGGGAGTCCCAATTGAACAGCTCAAAGGGTTCAGTGAGTTGGTCTCAATGCTGTTGAGGCTAATGCTGCAGAAGAGGCTAATACGGCCTGAAAGGCCCATCACAAACGACTCCTGAAAAAAAAAAAAAAAAAACTTTGACCTTTGGCCATCTTTGGCCTTAAATGTGTTTTCAATCCCATGCTTTCTGAGGATCAGGACCTGTGCTTGAGCCTCCAGTGCTGCCTGCTGCGCCTTCTGCTGTTCTTGCTCGTTGTGGGCCTCCACGTGTCGAGTGCTGTTTACAATCGCTGTCTACTCTGATTGAAAGACGTCACTGTCAGCACAACAAATTGACAGTGACGTTGTATTTCGTTCATACACTGTGACAGCTGAATCATCCATGTGCCTTAACCTGCGCACTCTGGATTGCTGCTTGAGCAGCCTCGGAGCAAACCAAAAGAATTGTCTGGAGCTCATCACAGAACTAACAAAATCCAATAAAATCTATGTTGGTATGTTGGCTTTCACGGAGTGACTCGATTGGGCCGGCGAGCTTCCAAACAAGCTAAAGCAAGTCTAGGAAAACACCTGCATGTCACTGGGATGTCCCACTTATATTATAGAGACTTACTGTAGATCCTTGGAAGATATCGGACGTCGGACAGACCTGAACGTATTCTGAAAGTAGTGAGCGGAGACACATGACTGGCATGGCTTCAGCTCTTGCAAACACAGCCTCTCGGTTTCACACCAGCAAAGCTGAGCAAAGCTGCCTTTCCTGACCTGTTGCCTTTGTCATCTCAAGTTGAAGCATACAAAGCTCCTAGTAGCGAACCTTGTTACTAGTAGTAAGGCCAGGAGCCCCTAATATCGTCCTTGCTCCTAGTAGCGATGCCCTTTGCTCCTAGTAGCGTCCTCTACCCCCTCCCGCGCATGCCCTTTACACCCAAACTGGTGACACCACATGCCCTCCAGGGGGCTGCAGCAGCTTGTGCCGCGACATTGAGGTGTGGTGGTGGTGCCTGGCGACGAAGCTCTGAGACTTGGCCGCCAAGCGGCCTGTGTGGTGTCCCATGTGTGGGCCCTTCCAAGAGAGGAAAGGCAGTGGAGATCTATCCATAACTGCTTCCAACTGAATCGGGAGAAAGGACAGTCTTTCAAAGTACTACTAGCCTCTGCCCCTGATCTACTTCATTGTATATACATAAGTTGTTGGGCCAAACTCAGCTCCCGTGTGTCCGACCTGAGCAGAAGGTGCTGTGGCCGGTGGAGCAGTTGCTGGCTGCGTGGGGTCAAAGCCTCCAGAAGTCCAGAAGCCGAAAGAAAGAATTTACGCATTCTTTGCAGCGCCATTCGACAGAAACGAACACATAACTGCTTTCATTGGTATGATCTTATGCCGGGGTGAGTTCTACATATCAAATCAGGTGAGTCGTGATGGAAAACAGCGGCACTTCCGCCTGGAGGAAGCAGGCCTCCACCGAGACCTCCAGGAAAACGGAGGCTCCGGAGGCAAAGTGTTCCATGAAATCCTTGTTTTTTGAAAGTTCAGTTTACTGTGTCATGAAAACAACGTACAACCTGTGAAAATCTGGTCGGGTCATTGTGGAGACCATGGCAATCTGGTTCCGCGTTCCCTCCCGCATCTCGTCACCTGGAGGTGGAGGTGGCAATCCCGTCAACGGTGGCAGCTGAAGCCCAGGCAGGCCAAGTCCTGGCACTTTGGAGAGTTGGCAAAGGCTATCAAGCAGGTCTAAAAGAATTCGTGGTATTGAAGAGTCAGAGTCTCAAAGACTTCAACTTATTTCTGATTCTGAAAGGCTTCAATACATAAATGTATTATATATATATAATCGTATAGTTATATATATATATAGACAGAGAGAGAGGGAGAGAGACATATAATGATTCATTGATTTTACATCTTTGAACAATAGAGTTGGGGTCCGAACTTCCACCCAGCCTGGAGGGGCTGGAGGAGGCACTCCGGGCGGCGCCCCGGGCGGCGCGCCCGGTGGCCCGGTCGGTGCTCCCAACAGGCCACCAGGAGGCCTAACGATGACAGACCTCTCCCTGAGCCTTCCGTTATTATCGGTAGGAACTTCAGGAATTGGTGGACATCTCGGCTTCAGGGACTGTGGGTAAAGCCTTGCCTCAAAGTTTCGGCAATCGCTTGAAGTCAACACGATTAGCCGTTCAACAGTGTCTGACACTCTTTGTCAATAAACAGCAAGAGGACCTTGGTTGAACAATGGGCGGTTGCTACGTGGAAAAGCTTCATGGAATCTGCGTAATCCACAAAGGTCTCTCTTTGATTTGATATCGTGTTTCCAGAAAGCTTTGCTCAAGAAGGTTGATGACAGAGGCGCCGCATCTTGGTGGCAAATACAAACGCACATGATTCTCAGGGCCCACTACCTGCCTGTCTGAATCTCTTAATACGTCTTGTTCTATCATAAGCACTGCCAACGAAAAGGACAAGCCCCAATGAGTCATTCAAGGCATGGCAAGCCAAAAAGGTGGCAGTCCTTTGAGGCAAAGCCGGAAAAAAAGGGGATTGCTGGGACGGTCATGTGCGACAGCCGGCGTGACTGTTGAGATCACCGCGGTGTCACCACGTCTCCACTCAACACTGATCATGATCCCCATATGTTCTGATAATAGTAGTGTCCTTGCTCCTAGTGGCGATGCCAGGAGCCCCTAGTAGCGTCCTTGTTGCCAGTAATGCTCTTCTTCCTATATTCCGACCTTTCCGAGTCCATCCTCCGTTCTGTTCATCAGCACGGTGCAACCTCTCAGGGACGGGCCCCAAACCAGCTAGCCCAACGGGATTCGGTGGCCTTAGCAGGTCGACGTTGCTCTTGCGCCGTTCAGGATGATCACCCCTCCAAGTGAAGAAAAACTTGAAACCAGACCACGTGTATTCGAGGAAACCCTTTGTCTTTGATTTGTTCAGATCATAGTCAGAGTCATAGATTCTTCGCAACGAGCAATTCACAAGGAATCACCAGCAGCTGACATCATTTGACTGAGATGTTCCAGGTCTGACTCCCACTGTCGCCTTGCTCGCTTCTTCCACGATTCTTTTCTCGGAGAGGTCAGCTTTGCTGCATCTCCAGAAATGCAAAGGTCGTCCTGGATCCTGGAAAAATGACCGCCTTCGCGGACAAGAAGGTCTGGACGAGAAAAGTTTTAAACTGTAAAGGTCTCGAAGACCTTACGAAGGTGGTAGTGTCCGTTGGCTTCTGCTAGCCCTTGAGGAGTTTCCCCGCGATCGTTGGGCACCATCTCCGCACCATGTCGCAGTAGTGCCTCAGGGAAGATGGTGGTGATTCAAAATGTTAAGAACATATAGACAAACAAGGGACCTGCGCCAATCTGTGACTCTGGCACGGAGCCCAATCAACCAAGTCTTGGGGCCAAATTTATCCTTGTCTCCTTCACCTCCATCAACCCCTTGGGGAAACTGGCTCCGCTATGAACAAATACACCAATGTTGCAGTTCTATTTCAGGTTCCTTTTCTTCCGCCGTATTGAGGTCCCAAAAGCAAGCGTTGGAAGAAAAGGGACCTTTTCATGTCCTTTGGCTCCTCTTGATTCTGATATCCATGGCCTCCGTCATCTCTTCATGCCCAAGAGATGCAGCTTTCAGCAACGAGGTCTCCCCTGGCAGCATGGCTGTCTCACGTGTCGGGAAGGAGCAGGCTTCTCGGCCAAAGAGGGCCACCTGAGCCCGGGCAGCCCAGGTGACAGGGATCCAAAACCCCGTTTGCCTGGCAGAACGCCGAACGGCAATCGGGTATCTCAATGACAAGAGCAAACAAGGAGGAAATAGTACTCACCGGTCACAATATGTAAACTGTCCTTCCACATTGCGTGCTGCACGTACCCCGAAGCAAACAAGCATTGGCGGCCATTCGGTGTTCATGCGAGTTCCTATGGTTGTTTTCTTATGCACCATGCAGGGCTGGCTTTGCAAAAAACTAAAGATTCCAAGCCATTGATCTTGCAAGTTTGAGAGGGTCCTTGATTCTCCTGCCTTTCTAAAACTGTATAGTATATAGATCCTCCAGCATTGAAACTGCAGGAAATCCTCCAGCATTGATTCCACCCTGGTGCCTTGAACGGACATTTGGATTTGCCCGATACTTGATCAAGAGCTCCACGATTTCTACGGCGTTGCGGTTGGCACGAGCAAAAGTGACTGCAGAGAGTATTGGGGTGATACCCAAGCAGCAGACCTCCGGATTGGGATCGGCATCAGCTTCAAGTAGGGCCTTCACGGTTTCATGATCTGCGGAACCACAGACACTCGTCAAAGGGGTTAATCCCAGCGGTTCATATTGAGCGTGCAAGTCTGCCCGGAAGTGAAGGAGTTCACGGACGTGCTCGGGACTCTTTGCAAGCCCCAAAGGTGTGCCGCCATAGTCAGTTCTGCCATTGACATCCGCGCGCAACTCCAGAAGAGTAGTGACCAAAGCTGTCGGTTGCTTAGACTGCACAGCAACCATTAAAATCGTTGTGCTGTCAGAGTAGCCAAGGTCCACTAACCCATGAGATCGGAAATTTGCATCTGCCCTACTTTCCAACAGCAGCTTCAGCATCTTTACATCTCCTGCAAAAGTAGCACAAAGCACGGCACACATGCTACTCTGGTCGTTGATGGCGTCGTCAAAGTCTGGAAACTTGAAGTGATGCAAGAAACCCTTCACATCCCAATTTAGCTCAGGCTTTCCCAGCATCTTGGGCCGCCGCGCCAAGAAAAAGCGATATAAGCTCAAAGACCCTCAATGCTTGGAAATAGATGGAGACTTGGGGGGAAAAGGGTTGAAAAGCTGTTGAAAAAACATCTGCAACTCATTGGTTTCAGAACACAAAAAGCAAAAGCTTTGCCTGTGGCTGAAAGATGTTGGATCTTGTGCTCCACTGCAGCCTCACCAAGCTTCACAACAACCTCGCGATCGCTTTCCACCGAGAATTCACCCTGATCAATAGTGTTCTCCTGCTCCAGTTAAACACCGCGAGAGAGTTTCAAAAAGGATTTCCTGAATCTGTCATAGACCCTGACACAGATCTGAAAAATTAAAATAAAGTACACTAATATACAGTAACTAAAATTCATCCGTCCACTCCTGCCAGTCAGCAGGAAACATCCACTGCGACTCTTTCTCTGAATACACGACAATTACTCTTTCTGTATGAGGCTTGTTGGACAGCAAGTGGCACCATAACTCTGCTCGGCACCATCCTCGGGACAGCCAAGAGGCATAGTTGCAGCACACCTTCGTGGTGCTGTGTGTCACTTCAGGAACCAATGCCAAGAAAATGTTGGAGACCTCCACATAGAATGGGATGCTCTGGACTGCCCGTGCGGCATCTGACTTGGTTTGGTCCTCGTTGACTCCGGCTGCTCGGGCAGTGATCTGAGGAATGGCGAACCAATCCAAGAAGATGTAGCCCTCAAGGACCTGAAGTTTGACCAAAGACAGCTGCACTTCCTTGGCTTCATGATTGCTCATGATTCTTCCAACAGCCAAACAACTTTATACTTATATACCGTATATTCTGCTCATTGGACCGTGACCTCTCTTCAACCCCACACTGCCAAAAACACGGCTCCCGTCCACACCTGTTGACGAGCATACTCGTAGGCTTGAAAGAAATCCGCTTGAGCCTCATGAGCCACCTCCAAGTCCACCTTCAGGGATCCTTGGAGGCAACAATCGGTGCCCACGAAGGGTGCTACACCGCCCGCACGAAGCACCCTCTCGACACACCGACCTCCCACGGCTTTTGAGGCGGTCTATGTGTTTCTGAATCAAAGGGTCTCATTATGAAAAGGATCTCTTGGTTCGGATGATTTTGTTCTCATGAGGAGTGGTCTCTCAAGTTTGGGATGGCAATGAGCCCTGTCATTCTTGTGGGGGGAAGATCTTGCCAGAAAGTAGAGCCGAGAAGAGCCCGGAAGACTCAAAAAAATGTGAGGGAAAGGGGGACCCCCCAAATCGTGTGTCAGTCATGGGGAAGCCTACAAACCAAATGTCGACGCAGCCATACGGCCATAGGGCCTCAAATGGCCTCGATGTCTGGCAAGTTCTCAAGTCTCAGCTTCACATCCCAAACTGCAACCAACCACATCTCATCTTTCGCCGCGGCGAGCTCCCCACGTTTCATCACATTTCGCACCCTCCCTTCCCTTTTGTTTCTCGTTGAGCGTCGGTCCAGGACTCCTTGAAGAGTTCCACGTAAGACAGCTGCATGGCGTCCATCAGGATCTGGGTGCGTCTCGCTCAACCACTGATGAGACACAAAGGTCACACGCATTCCGGGCACCCATTGATGCAGCAAACCTTGATGAAGCAAGACATGGTGAGGCTCTGGAGGGCCTTCCATCTTCAAGAAGTCGGAGACCTCCGCGAGCTTGGATGGCGAAGCGAACATGTTGTCCAAAGTCTTGATGAAACAAGGCGCCTCTCTAGCGCGAACGCCCTGACCTTCATACAATTTGGGGGGGCAGGGCCGCAGGGCCGCAGGGCTTACGTGTTGGACTTGCGCGCCTTGACGACATACATCGGAAAAAGACACTCATGTACCTGCTGCAATGGAGTCTCGCCGGCATCCCCACAGAGTCGGCAGCTTGAGCTTCCCATTGGAAAACTGCAATGAACAATGGGTTGACAAAAGCTTCTGTCAGACAAAAAGTGGGTTCAGCTGGAATCCCTTCCAGAGCGTACTTGTTGCTTGAAGGCCCTGCATGATTGCTCAGTCTGTTCATGTCCATGGGTATGCACTGTATGCACAGTTGACCTGACATGCAAACTCAAACCTAGTCAATGGTGAATGGAGAGCGCATGCGCAGCACTTGGCACGATAATGACATGGTCAAATCTGATGCTCAATAGCGTACTGTTTACTCGAGCCATCTCAAGCCTAGATCGATTTTTCCATGAACCTGATCCAGAATCATGCATATTGAACTCCTCAATGGCTCAACATCTGAACTGTTCTGACACTTGCAACACCCCTGTCAGCATTGTTGATCGTTGGCACTTCCAATCAAGGGGGCTCTGGAATTGGACGTTTGCAACCGGGTTCCACGTACTTCTTGGGAGCTTCAGCTGCTTCATAGAAACGAAGGAGCTTGGTGCTTTCTTTTGTGAGTAGGATTTAGTCGCCACACCCGCATTTATGTTCAACAGGCGCAATCTTTATCAAAGTTCTCTGTCAGTCAATTGGGATCAAAACAATGGCGCTGCCACATATCATAAAACCTCAAAAGCACACCAAACTATGGAGCCCTGCGCGGGGAAGTGAGTCACTGACCTGGATCGTCTGGGCCAACCGGCAACAGAGAAGCGAAGTTCGGCGGCAGACCCGGGGGCGGTGGCACCTCAGCCCAAATCCAACCGGTTTGGAGTTCAAAAATCCAAGTAAATGTTCGACCACACTTTGGGCTCCACGTCGGCTGACGGTGGCTAACGGCACCACAGGAGTCCACTTGATGAGCCTCTGGCCATCGGCAAAGGTGGTGCGCCCGCCATCTTTGAGGGATCAGGGCACACAACCTGAGGGCGACACCCAACAGAGACTTCTAGCCAAAAGGCCAAGCACACTCCGACACGTCTCGGAGATCGTTTCACTTTGTGACCAACAGCGCCTGAATCGACAAAGGCCTCCCCATCTAGTGCGTGAATCCCTTTTAAAGCCTGTTCAACATTTCAGGAGACTGAATTGAAACACATACTTATTCACCTATTCATTCCATCACTAGCTCACGCCGAAACAACCACCCTGCCCGAGCCAGCTTTGCTGGATCTCGGAGATGCAGGTCCTCGCCATCAATAAAAACAATGTCCTTTGGCGCATAGGCCTCTTGGACCTCTCTAAAAAAGGTTGGATTTCGGTAAATACTTCCAAAGATCACCAAGTCATAGGCATGGTCCAAAATCTTTGCTAGAATACCATCTCGATCTACTTGCCCCAAGTCAAAGTCTAGCGTCATGGCATAGGTGAAGCCATTCCCATACAGCTGCCCTCTGCGCTTCTGCCAGTTGTCATGTACTGGGTCTGGCCTAATCTTGGGATTTGGACTGTACAAATGATCGACACGGGGGAAATCGACCACTTCATCGCAAAGCTTCTTGAGGCCATGTAGGATCAAATCTCTTTGGTAGTCCGGAGCAGGCCTCCCAACCAAGAAAAGGATCTTGGGACATCTGAACTCCGATTCGGTGGCGGTGTCGTAACGACGGACTGTTTGAAGGACATACTTCGCCATGGCCTTCGTAGTCAAGTGATGCCGAGCATAGGTCATCATCCGTCTCAAGAGTGTGTAGTACTTCTCTTGATCAATGTTTACCCGCTTAGCCCTGAGCTTGTGGAGGCTCCAGTTCCCTAGCAACTCCCAGGCTTCTTTGAGCAAGTCTCGTGGCAGAAATGGCACCGCTTTTTCTGGCAAGTCCAGGTGGCCAAGAAAAAGCGGTAATGCACCATTGGCAATGATCTCATAGTGGCGCAGGCAATCGTATCCGTACTTCTTCCGAGTAATCCCAAAGTAAGCGTGGCGGTACTGCCGGTGATACTCAGCTTCCTGGTAAAATTGAAATTGGTACTCCCAAACTGGAGTCATGCCATCAGATCCATCAGAGACCGCAAAGGGCCAGTACTTCTCTGGCAGGCAAGGGACTAGAGCTTCCTCTGGGATAGAAAAGCCGATTGGATATACCAAGGCACCTTCCCCATTCTCAACTTTGACCGGAGCTAGCTCTGGCCAAAACTCAGACCCAGAGACTTGACGCGAAGTCTCATTGTGGAAATCGTTGCAACGAAAGCGACAGAACGGGGCACTACACGGCACCACAACTTCCACCGCTTCTGTCAAGACGAGACCAACTCCCAATCTCCACATGGGCACCGTTCATGGTTCTCCGAGCCCTGAAGTGACAAGTGGCTTACGAGAAGAACAATCAAACCCTGAGCAGCAAAGGCTGGCACAACATGACATGATATCATCTGCTGTCAGTTCAACGCAAGTCAAAAAGGCTGGAGGCCCTTGCTTCTAGGTTGGAGGCCACTAGTACGTTGGAGGCCATCGCTTCTATGTTGGAGGCCATCACTATTAGAAACAAAGAACAAAGAAAAGGAAGAAAGGTTTAAAGTTTAATATAGTTTGCTATTAGGTTGCCATCACATCGTAAGGCAAGCTCCTGCTCCCGGCAATCAAATAGGACACGGTCACCGACGATTCAGTTTGGATCCTCCCCTTTGGATGGATGCGAAGAATAGTGGGCCCAAATTTGCTGATCGTCCCAGGCCTTTGTTTTTGAAGGACTGTCGCCCTCTTCTTTCCTCTTACATGTTCAATCTGCTATCAATCCCTCTTAAGTTCTCCACTCACAAGGAAGGTGTGTGCGCTACAAGCTCCGTTCCAGCTCCTGGTTGTGATTCTAGTTGCAAACAAACACTGCAACAAACACGACACAATGTTGTTCTTGCCATGTTGCTGTTTCTATCTAAGGTCTTGCTGGTGATCCCTACCCACCAAAGTGGGAATCGCCAAACGCCTTGGGCGGCACGCTGGGCAAGGCTGAGCCTTTCTTTCGCCCGTTTCGCCCACGCCCCAAATCTGACAGACCGCTGCGGAGGCAAAGCAAACGTTAAAACGCCAAGCAAGCCCCCAGTTGGATCAAGATACAGCTGGATGATCCCTCAACCTAGTAGTCACGGAACTCCCCCTACCAAACTCGGTGGAAACCAAGCTGGCACAAATATTCTGCCAAAACTCTTTAGAAGGCCATACCGTACCTGTTTTGTCTACATGTGCTGCTCTTGTTCATATCTATATATTCAGGTTGAACAAAGGCCATCGCTAGTAGGTTGGAGGCCTCCATTTGAATCATGTGTACCTCGAAAATTGCGAGCCACTCTGCACCCAAGAAATGAAAGCAGGGTTCACCCTTAAGAAGTGGGATAAAAGTTGAAAGTCTTGAAAAATTGATACTCCAATGTAGACAGGTGCACAAACAAGCTCCTAAACACCGGAACGGTCACAAACCCTTCTCGCTGCCACGACCCGCTCTGGTTCTTTTTCTGCAGCATGACCGAGAATCACCAGACAATTCTTTATGTCTGACCAAACATGTGCAACTGAGCACCCTTGGTTCATTCGATGCCAGTCCCTGTAACATGTGCCACTGGGCTCTTGAAACCTGGACCTAGTTTTGATTTGATTTTAATGGAATCGCAGTGCTGTGCTGGGACATCCTTTTCAAGACCAAGCATTTATCTGGTCTGCTCAGTGATGCAAGCGCGTTGGTCGCAAGAATACGTCTATCAGAAAAGTCGTTTTCACATGGTCATCCTTGTTCACAACTGTTTGTACGAAATTGCACTTGTTGAATCTGCGAAAAATGCTCTTCGCCTGGAAGCAGTTATCATGCCATCAATCCCAATACATAAAAGGTGATCGAAGAAGAAAAAACTATCGTCAAAAATAATACAGTAATAACAAAAATACAACTTTAAGTGTTCCTAAAAATCTAGAAACCAAATGAATAGTGTGAGCGCTTCTTCAAGGAAGCTCCCCCCGCCGCCTTTAGGGCGGCGGGGGAGCTTGCTTGAAGAAGCGTGAGCTATCCTGAGTCCTGGGTAGTAGCTACTTAAGCTACTAGCTACCGTTTGCTTCTACTAGCTACCTAGCTACTACCTCTTCTCGGCCTACCTACCCCCCTGAAAGAAAAAAGAGTTTTCCATCATCCGTAGATCACATCGAACTTCCCTTTGGAGTTCGGATCACATGACTTTTCCACACAGCAGCTATCGGCCTCAGACCTCTCAGTGTCCAGGCCATTGTGCGATAGGTCGTAAGGTGTGACCTGAGACTCCCGGAGTCCACATCATCGCGAGGTACCGAAATCTTCTACGGAAGTCGCCATTATTCTTGGGAAATGTTAGAAATCTTCTTGAGGTACCCAAAATGGGATATCCCCCAGTAGGATTTCTAGCATTTTCAGAGGTGCGGACACGGCGGACACACTTCCAACACGACAAATCCTCTCCAACTCGTAACGCATGTCCCTTTGAAAGGCGACAGTGGTTTCCTGGTAACGTGAAAAGGACCCAACTGGTCCACGCCCGATTTTTTGCACAACTGTTCTCGCAAGAAAACACATCTCAGTCGAAGCGGAATCCGTGTCTTGCGAAGCATTTGAGTCCTGGATCTGGACCTTGAGTACTGGAAGCACCCGCAAAAAAAAAAGGAAAGCAAACAAATCTAGCTCGGATCCTTTGGACCAGCTGAAGATGGCTGAACTTGGTCAAGTCCCTGGCAACAAATCTGGAACGGAACTTACGACGGGGTGATCATCACCTTAATCGAATGGGATTCCATCTTCTGAACTTGATGTACTCAGCGTTTCTACCACAACAATACAGTTTTCTTGATTTCCAGCTCTTTGCCAAACATAGGTTCTTGATATAGATTCATCTTCCACAACTCCCCAAAGCGCGAAACCCAAGGTCGCTTTGGGAGGAAGGATTAGAGAACTGCGATAGAGCGAAAGCTTCAGGTCTGGGACCCTGAAGCAGCAACAGTGTGATCGTCATTTCTGGGACTCCATGTTCAATTTCTGGCCCACCTGCGAAGCATAGAGAGTTCCAGGTGTCCCAGGTTTGCCAGGGTCGCGGAAAGTTCCATCCAATACATCCGATGTTCCAAAAGATTGAGGGACTTGACCCACTCCAGACTGAATTCAAAGCGGTGAAACGATTCCCAGCATGTTGTATGCGAATGAATCGGCATGTGATGCGACTAACTAATGGTCAGGGGACTGGCTGATCTTCCTACGCCTTTCTGGTTTCAATGAAACTGTTGCTTATAGTTTTAACAGTATGCTTGTATCTGTGAGTTGGGAGTCGGGAGCGTTGAATTTTGGTGTGGTGGCAAGCCTTTCTCTCTACTCTTGTTCGCTGGGATCACCGCTGCAACTGCTACGCTGCTACGTCGCTTCAGGGGTTCCATCCTCAGGGTGCACCGCGTCAGGTTGGGATGGAGATGCCTGGCAGTCAGTCAGATGAAAAAAGAACTGCTGACCTCTCCAGTGACAGCTGAAGAGGCCCCGACCAACTCAAGCAAGGCACATTGAAATTCTGAAGGAATGCCCACGCAGCATCGAATCTCCGTGGCCCTGCCTCCTTACTTAATTAAGTAGGCGCCTACTTAATTAAGCAAGGTATAAGTTCGTTCCTAGCTTCTAGGAAGCTACTACATATGGACGCAGGATAGTTCACGTTTCTAACGATTTGGCTCCTAGATTGTTAGGGCTCACTAGTTATAAAAAAACATGTGCTGTCTGCGCAACACCTCGACTGCAACACAACTCTCCAACCTCTGGTATCGGCGGCGCAAAGGACCGCGGGCCAGTTGGCTCTGACTCTTCATCCAGCTTCTCTGCTTCTGGGAAGACTTCCACCAGCAGTGGCCTCATCATGACAGTCTCGCACCAGCTTTGTTAGGATCATGTTTTTCTCGGCATGCACACATGCATAGAGAGAGAGAGAGAGAGAGAAAAAAATAACAATCCGCCGACCCCAGCCTAGCTGACGCGTAGGCAGGGCGGCGCCTGGGACACCGCAGGGTGGAAGCCGTTGCCGTGTGGAAGCCGTTGCCAGTGGATGTGACTTGCAGTGTCATGCCTAGGGTTCCAAAAGCAACGTTAGACAGACCCGTTTGCGCGCAGAATTAGATGGGGGAAGGCTGTGGCGACACCAGCCTTTCTGCGCTTTCTACAGGGCAGCAGGACTGGTCTGTGGCCATCACCTCGGCTGCTGCCACGCGGCTCCGCACAGGGCTCCAAAAGCGTCGACCTCTGTTGCGCGCAGAAATAGATGGTGTCGTTTGCCCGGCCTGAAACCCTCCGCAGCAACATTGCACGTGCACCCGGGCCTAGCCGCGCTGCTGCTACGGGCTGTTGTTTGCCCGCCCTGAAACCCTGCGCAGCGACACCAGCCCGTTTCGACACTGTCGGTTGCCCGCCTGTCCCGCAGCAGAATTAGATGGGGGAAGGCTGTCGCGACACCAGCCTTTTTGGGCTTTCTATAGGGCAGCAGGACTTGTCTGTGGCCATCACCTCGGGCCTTGTTCACAGCACTGAAGGCTGAGTTCTACAAGAACTGGCGGTTGAGATTTGAACGGTTGGTGGATCTGTGGGGGCAATACTTGGCTGATTTGTACCATGTTGGATTTGAGCTAAATGGCAAGACATGGAAAGTCGCGGTGCTGGGTATCACCGGAGATGCACCATTTCTCCGTGAGATACCACAACCGCAGCTTTTCAAACTTGAGGAAGTCTCATACTTCAACGGCTTTGCCCCAGGGAATATGTTGGTTGTGCGCCGAAATCAAAATCAGGCAAGCTTGTCCTCTTTTCTTCCACATGAGATTTCTGTTCTCATTGAGCTTACCTTAAGACACCTGGACTGGTAAGGCTTGCCCAAAAACGGGGGTCTGCGGCACCAGGGCGTTAGCCCTACTTGTAACGCTGGATAATCATCAGCTTGGTCACTCATCCTGTGGCTTTTCTGCTTCACACTCTTCATCCTCACTCTCCTTTGGGACAGACATTAAGCGGCAAACGGCGAAGCAGCAAGACATGTCATCGGCAATATGCTTTGCAACTCGTCTTTTCTTGAGTACTAAATTGCAGCTTCAGCATTATTTGCATCAAGTAGTTCCGCTTCACAGAAAAAAGCTGGGTCATCACAATTGCACCTGCATCTTAGCACCCAACAGAACATGAAGAACGAACTCACATCTAAATCCTGAAGGTTTGTGTAAGTATCGGGTGACACCTGATTCAGACCTGCAAAAATGAGAAATGTGTAAAGCACAGGCCAAACAGCGTATCCTTACCTTTGCCAAACTGCGAAAGTCTCAATAATGAAATTCCAACATGTATATAGTAATATCATTGGAACGCAACCTCAAACATCTGCGGCAAGAAAAAACGGACACGACACACATCCGGAACCCCACACGCATCCGGTCCTCGTCGACGAGGATGGTTTCTCCGCGCATCTCCATGGCCGCTTCTTCGGCCGTGCGCAGGCCGAGCTTCCGGAGCTCCCGGACGCTCGGGCGGCGCCGAGCCTTTGGCCCGCCCAGCTCCTCGGGCGTGACGGGCGATGGTTTGTGATTGTTGGTCAAGAACATTTGGCACGCGCAGTGAAAGCTTCAGAGGTGGTTTCGTGCAGGCCATACTTGGCTTTACATGTCCAATGAAGTTTGTTTCAGGGTGGAGTGGACAGCGGCAGGAAGAGCAGCTGTGCAAGATATTTTAAGTGAGGCTTGGGATTAAGCTTGAGAAAAGAATTGTACGAAAATGACACCAAGAAAGGAACTTCACCAAGCGCGAGCCTTGGGCTAGCAGGGGGACACAGAGAAGTCACCGAGTGCTGAAGGAATTTAGATTCACCTAGCCTGCCCACCTGGGAACCAAACAAACAAAAAAGAACTATACAAACTCTTGGTGATCCCCCTGTCTGCCCAAGACCTCTCAGGAACTGTTTTTCTGTGTGTTTTTTTGGGGCTTTTTTGGTGCTCCCATTTTTTGAGGCCACTTTCCACTCCAAGATCTCTGAGAAATAGTTTCTCTTTGAAGCTGTTTTCATGTGTAAAGCGCTTGTCATGTTTGTGTGGATGGGAGGGCTAGGAACCTTGACCGATTGGTTCGTGGAAAGTCCTGTACACGGTACAAGTTATTGCTCCCAGCTATTTTGATTTACTATGTCCCTGTTTATTAGCTCTATTTTTTCCTGGATTATTGCGTGACTCCTCTTGTGGTTCTTTAGCTTAGCTTTTCCCATACCAAATTGGGTTTGTTTCAGACTCATTTAGCTGTTCTATTGTCGATGGCGCCAAACACTATCCTTGAAATGTATGTCCTATTGCCACCCATCAATCTTGAAATAGTTGCTCCTGTGCTTAATCACTGCTACCATTGCTTGATCATATGTTCCACTACGTATTTACTGCCACTATTGGTTTGCATCTCTTTCTCTTATTTAGCCCCTTCGTTTGTTAAATTGGTGTGTCTATGTTTCTGTGTCTTTCCATATGTATCTACCTTTTGACCTCCTTTTCACACCTTTCATTGTTGTGTTGTTCACAAGCTGTTTGTATTGTTAGGAGGCTTGTCTTTTAGAAAGCAAATGTTGTTTTGTTGCTTAGCTTTGTCCATGACTAGATTTTGAGAAGCAAACATGCACAGAAAGCACAATAAACAGAGATAGATCAGAGGCAAAAGCGTCGATTGGCCACTATCATTGCATATACTCCATAACGTATTATTGTTCGTTGATGTTGTTACCCTGTTGCTTCAACAATCGTTCTTCCAGAGACAAAAGGGTTGATTGATTGCCATCATTGCAATCTATGTCACAACGTACGTACTGTTATTTTTTGAGAGCTCGTCACTGTGAGCGTGCACTTTTTTAAGCATTTCAAGCTGCCAAATCTTGCTGTCTAAAGTTTTCAGCTCATACCAAAGCCAAAACTTCTCATGTGGACTTCCAACAAACAACATTTCAATAGAGATTCTATAGCAATCTTACTGATATGCACTAGTGTGTTTAATTAATAGCAACCCACCAAATAGAAGGATTTACATAGCAAAAATATTGATATTCTACAGAACTTGTCCCATGAGATTAGATCTACAGATGGTCCCTCAGCTTTCTTCACTTCTTGTACTTCATGGACTTACTCTTCATGGACTTGCCCTTCATGATCATCTTGTTGCCAGACGAGGGTTTGCCAATTGCATTCTTCGTGTTGGACTTCTTGCCACATAGGTATGAGACAGACTTCGCATTCTTGAAGAGGTTTGGCAGCCGAGTTGGATGCAAATACCGAGTGTTGCCACCCTCAATGGACTCGTTGCGACGCTTGGACAGAAGCAACAAGAAGAATTTGCGCCGGTGGGCTCGCATCTCATTGATGATAGGGGAAAAGTTGCGGAACCACGAGAAGACCTGTTCGCAGATCGAAGTGTTCTCTTTGTGAATGCGCTTCTCCAGCTTCTTGCGGTAGCCTAGGTAGGCTTGACTTAAAGTAAATACGAAACTATACAAAACGACACATTCATAAGGACTAATGCAACAACATGTGCCTCAATAAACTTGCAAAAAATGATTGTGGTCGTCTCGATAGAACAGAATCCATATTGATTGACTTGGTGTTGAAACAAACAGACAGGACACGAGGATTGCAAGGGCAGGTTCGCGAATGACCATGAGAATGAAAACCATCCACGACATAGTAGCCGATCTGATTCAAGGCCTCATTCGACTCCCCACATGACTTGAAAGCGCATGCTCTGTCGTAGACAAGGCAATCCAGTTTGGGGTACAACCAGATGACGTTCTCCACAGCCAGAGTTGCGACCTCGTTGCCTTCAGGCTCACGCATGACCTGCAAGCTGATGATGCGACTGGACTTCGGATCACACGCAAGCATCCAGCCATTGGTGTAGTGCCCGGTGGTGTGCTCAGACTTCCTAGGACGGCCTGCGCGCTTCATTGGCGCCATATCACACTGCATCTTCAGCTTCTGGTTTCCATCAAGGACTAAGGTCTTCACCTGCTGACGCTTGTGTGGAGGAAAGGTAGATGAGTGGCAAAAGGAATCGTAGAGGTCAAGATGGGTATCTTGGATCTCCTGTTCGATCATGATCTCCTGACGCAGGCCCAACAACTCGAACTCCCTCACAGCCATGTAGTAGAACAACGCAGACGCATGCAGCTTGTCAAAGTTCTGAAGGATTGACTCTTGGGAATCTCCGTGGACAACGTGGTAAGCGCACGACACAGCAGCACTTGAGAGATGACCACGGAACAGAAGTTCTTCATGATACTGGATGCAAAGAAAAGGCCTTCTTCGAGTTCACAAACAGAATGTTGTCCTGAAAATCCTTCACGCCAAGGACGTTCACCTTCTTGCCTGCTTCCCAGCGATAGTTGTAGCCATAAGAAGCCCGGCAAGAACGGGAAGTACAGTTCTTCTGCGCGTGGACGATTTTTCGAGGACCATCTAAATCGTACAGCGTGGCATCGACGGACAAATGGTAGATGAGGGAACCAGAACAACCTTCACAGACACACTTGCTCAGAGGACATGTGAAAGTCTGCGGACTAGAACCTCCCACAGCATCCAAGGTCACTAACGCTGAGTAGGATTGCCTTCGCAAGTAGTAGAAGGTGTACTGGTCAGATGACAACATGTCCATTGCCACACCAGCAGACACCACTGAGGTGACCTCACCATCCTTCTTGAGGAGCAAACCTTCTCGACGCTGCAAGGCAAAGAAGTGCTTCATGTCCTTGTCATGCACGATGTAGCTGCCATCCGGCAAAGACTTTCGACAATGCTTCTGACACAGTTGGACGCCAAAGGGAAGTAGCAGACTATTGCCGTAGGAAACTGAGAATGGGCCATCTTGATCGCAAACCACCAGAAGACCAATATTTTGCATGGCCATGATCAAGCACACATCTTTGAAGCCATTCTGGCAGCCAGGACCTCCATATTCTAAGTCAGGAGCAGCACCAACGCGAGGCATCGGATCTTCGTCATCAGAGGGAGGATGAAGTCCAGGCAAAGTGTCCGGATTGGGAATGTCTTCTGTCCTTCTCTGTCTCTTGTGTGGTGGCGGGGAAGGTGTGTCCAAGACAATGGGCTCACTAGAGGTAAAGGCAAGGCTCTGGAACTTCAAGGAAGGCTCTTCCTTAACGGTCCAACCTGCACTTGCACGATCTGTGTCTACATCCACAGGATCTCCACGTGTTGCTGTGGCCAACCATGCACGCGCATCCGGATGCTCGGCTGGCTCCAACTTGGGTACGCCAACCAAAAGAGCAGGGGCAGGGTGAGGAATTGACAATGAACTCGATGCCGGCCTTGAAGAAGCAGGTGCAGCAGGCAAAGCCCCATCAGCCCGAAGCAACGCATCCAAACCAGGCGTGGAAGTCAAAGGAGTAGCAGGACAAGCTGGCGAAGCAGGACGTACAGGATGATCATGTCGACGGAATAGCTCTTTCAACCATTCAGTCTCCCATGCCACAGATGCGGAATAAGTATCCGGCTGAGGCCCACCATTTTTCCAATTCTTCAGGGTTGGCTTGCAATCTGGAAGAAGAATGTCCTTTGAATCTGAGTTGGTCCAAAAAACACGCTGCACCTTGACATGCTTCAGTGGGTGGTCGGAAATAGATGTACTTCTCAGCAAACACGATGAAGGCAGCCCTTTTCAGAATTGCCATAGCATCGGCATTGGCGATGTAGCCCACGGCTGGACGGACCAGCTTCATGAAAGACTCATGGGAGACTTCTGCTGAGAAAACACCATCAACATCGCCTTCTTGACCCTCTGGGTTGTACTGGTTGTCTACGACGATGCGAAGCTGATGCATCACGAACTTCGCTGCTGTCCACCTGCCCAAGAAAATTAATGATTTACATTCACAGACATGCATGTCAAGGGAAAACACGATATGTGGATTGCACATGTGATGTGACATTGCAGAGCCCGGCCTTTCTTTCAGGATGGTCTCAGAATCTCCCACATCTGAGAACGCCTTTTTCTTTTTGATGGTCTCATTACCGATTTCACCATCGTCAAAAATGGCAGGCGTGGCCTTGTCGAAGAAGATGCAACGAAAGAAATCAAACTCCGGGGCTGACCTGAACTGACCATTTCCTCCATGATATCGCGAAAACATCATGGAAAGAATTCGAGCGAGAGGGGTTTTGCCGACACCGGACTCTCCGAGCAGCCACAGGGAATGTCCACGAAGATGAGGCAAGAGATCTTCCAAGATGGTCAAGATTTCTGGCTGAATGGCTTGGATGGTCAAATCATATCTGTCAGACAATTTGGCCAGACATCCGTCATTAGCAAGACAATCAAGAGCTCTCTGAACCAACTTCTCGTTCCAACCATGGATCGGAGAACCTTCTTTTTGGATGTGGCGATGGATCCAGCGCATCTGCTTCAAGTTCTCCTTGTCTCTCTCACCGTTGCTGATGATGAAGTCCCATCCTGCATCCTGTTCATCTTCTCCTTGAGGGGCACGTGCTTTGTTGGATCGGACCTTCTCAGCGGAAAGAGAGAAGTGACGAAACTGATGCCCACCCAGGCACTCCAACATCCACTGGAAGCCACGGCGAGCTTGCTGTTTGTTGAGGGAGGCCCAAGCAATCTCCTTGCCTTGACCACGCACGAGCTTGGCAACATATGCGCCCTTGACCTTGTCTCTGATGATGGCTTTCAGATTGTCCATGTCGATCGAGGAGGGCTCGACATCATAGATCAAATCAACGAAGTGCTTGATTGAAGGAGTAGAGTCCAAAAGCCTGAGAAGCATAAGAAAGAATCATGCATAAATATCACATGTGATGGGGTATGGCCTATCGACTTTCGATGACACTTGAAGACAGACAAGAAACTCCTTCAAAGGTAGACAGATCGGAGTGACCGAACCGACCGGTAGAGGGCCAACATGAACATGAGCTGGAAGTTCTCGCAGCGTGAGGTGCTGGGTCGCTGCGATGGCATAGCTCAGGGACATATTATCGCCCTCCACCTCCATGGCCATAGAGTGTTGAAGGGCTCGAAAGATAGCACAGAAGCAAATTGAACGATACAAGGATGACTATGAGCCAGACAGGATGGGCATAGGAAGTTTCTGAAATTGCAAAACTAAAAAACAAACAAAAAAAACAAACTCATGGCTTGCAGACGGTCTTGGGTCCAAAGGTTTTCTTTTTGGTTTTCCTGAGTGCACTGTCAAAAACCTGTTGAAAAACCAAAAAAACAAAAAAAACGACTCATGGATTGCAGAGGGTCTTGGGTTGGTTGGGTTGGTTTTTTGGGTTTTTTTGTTTTTGTTGTTTTGTTTGGTTTTTTTGGTTTTTTGTTTTTTGTTTTTTTGTTTTTTTTGTGTTTTTGGGTTTTTTGGTTATGTGACACTGAAGACACTGAAGCATTTAGTAGAATACACTCACTGAAATATAGTGTTTTTGCACTAGTCTACTAGATATGCAAGAATACATTGAAATATTTACAGTTTTAGCGCACGCTGGTGGTAACGTGTTCTGTATTTTTTTGTAGTTAGTTTTTTGCTTAATCAGTGGTTCTTCCCTTCTTGGATAGGATTTTGATTGCAGATTGTCCAAAGTTGTGATATTTATAAAGGAACAATTGTTTTATTCAATCAAGACCAGGGATCTTCATGGACGACACCGGAGGGACACCGTGTTCACATATACGCATTCATACTGTCAATGTCGCATCAAGGATGAGCATAGTAAAATAAATATATATACAGTATATATAATAAAATAATAATAGCCTTGCATGATGGAGGAGGGCCTGCATAAGGTGGGATTTTTGTATGTACGCGTAGGTCCTAGGTTCCATAAAGGATTGTGTGAAGGCACTTAAAAATATACCCTTCAAATAAGAATGTCCAATTCAGTTGTTGGAAAGAAGCAGGGCAGCAGATCCTTCTGAAGAAAGGAAAGAAAGGATGTTCCTCAAAAGACCGATCCTCAAGTTTGTTTACAATATATATTGGCTGGGTTCACATTATCTACCCTCCCTCCAACAATCATGGAAGTGGACGGCATGGCCCCTGGAAAGGCCAGTGTCCTCCACAAACAGGGAGTTGTCCACTACCAGCCACTTCCGACTGTGAGCGATCCATACTACCTCACCCTTTCACTTTAAACCTGCACAGATCTCAAGCGCCGTGACACTACTGAGCTTGGTCCCCAATCACTACCAAAATCCCAAGGCAGTAGAGCAAATGTTTGTCTACTGCTGACTGCTGCTTGAAAGCCCGTCCCTACCCATCTCATCAATAAAGGCCCTCAAAGGCTTCAGGTGCACTGAAGACTTCAGGATGAAAAGACACCAACAAAAACGGCATCCGCAGGTCCGCAAGCATGGATCCAAAATGTTCCAACTATTGGACAGCCAGCAAGTGCGCCAATGCAATCAGTTGAGCAAACCAGGATCGTGACAAGCCCAACAGGTCCCTGGTCCTGGCCATGGAAAAGAGAACCGATCTTGCAAGGTGGAGATCTTGAATTGACGGAAGCCACACGAAAAGGAAGCTCAACACCAACAGCAACAACAAAAACACCACAACCAAACAACCGTAACAAGCAACCAACCAACCTACCTACCAACCAAACAAACCAACCAAACCGGACCAAACCAACAAACCAAACAAACCAAACAAACCAGACAAACCAACAAACCAACAAACCAAACACACCAAACAAACCAAACTAACCAACAAACCAACAAACCAAACACACCAAACAAACCAAACTAACCAACAAACAGACAAGCAAGCAAGCAAGCAAGCAAGCAAGCAAGCAAACAAACAAACAAACAAACGAGCAAACCAACAAACAAACAAATAAACAAACAAACAAACAACAACCACAACCACAACCACAACCACAACACACCCTCCTTTCGTCTTGCCCCTGCACCTGCTTTCCCCTGGCACCTGCCACCGAATACCCTGCTGCTGGCCCGCTGTTGGGCGTAAGCCCCTGAAATATGTGTATATATATATGTACACATATGCAAGTTGAGTATTTCAAGCCGAGTATTTTTGCCGAGCAACCAATGCCAAATCCAAAGGCGTGCGGTCCTTCCTGAGATTTCTGGCAAGGGACTAAGGTCTTCTGGGTTTATCATCAGGCACAGATTCCATTCATTAGACCTTTGGGTGACACACATGGAAGGTTCATCACTGTTCACTGCCCGCACTTCTTTTAGAATTCCAAGGCTCATGTCCACCGCATTCTTGTTTGCCCTCGCTTCGCACAAGAGCCTGACAACTTCAATCCGTTTCTGAGCCTTCTCACTGCGTGGCTCCTCAGGGCCGCGACATCATCAGTCCAGAAGGCATGTGACAAAATGTGATCCAAGTCCATCTTGCTTCATATTTTCCAAAAAAGGACAAAATTGTTTTAATTTCAAGACCAAGATTGCCTGGCCAGTGGCTGTGGGCCAACCCTTGTCTGTGCATTTGCAAGGTTGCAAGTCTTGTGGTTTTCTATATCGCTCTTAGCCATCTCAACCACTTACATATAGCCGTGAGGAAATTGCCATCCAAGGCTCGTCAAGGCATGCGTCCCGGCAGGCATCATGCAGGATGGTGAAGCGCTGCCCATCGGAAGAGCGCAGGAAAACTGGAAGCTGTGCTTTCAAGCCTTCGTCAAATGATTTTCAAAAACAACCAAGACGTACGAACCTTACGGGTTCCAAATTACATGGTTTACGAGAGGAAAGTCAACGAGGATGCATGATTAAGAAACAGTTTGGATGTGTATATATATGTATATATATTATGGTTTGTTAAGTTATTACTATATATGTATATATTTAAGGAACAAGAAAAGGATCAAGAAACATAGTCCCAGTGAGCAATGAAAGGAAACAGAGACTACCGAAAGGACAACAGCAGCAGGGCGCTAAAAGGATCAGGCAATCCTGCCACAGAGCAAAGAAAAGCACAAAAGTCCACCACAAAGAACAGCAAAAGAAAGTGAAAGGTTAGAAATGTTGGACACAGGAAAGGTGGGCCCTATCATCCACCAGAGGACAATGAAAGGATGTTTCCAACACATAATCAGAAAGACTTAGGCGAGGATAATTGGCAAAAGTAGAAAGTCACTTTGACCAGTGGACCACAACGCCAGCGGAGGCAAACCGGGGGGCCAAAGGACCGGAGGAAAGGACCAGGAGACCAAAGGATCCGGGGGTGGGCGAAATCGAAGTCGGGCCTCGCCTGCTTGGACTTTCCCAGGATTGCACTCCTGGACGCTACTAGGAACAAGAAGCTACTAGGGGCTCCTGGCCTTACTATATACTAGGAACAAGAAGCTACTAGGGGCTCCTGGCATCGCTACTAGCAGCAAGGACGCTACTAGGGACTCCTCCTGGCCTTACTACTAGGAGCAAGAAGCTACTAGGGGCTCTTGGCCTTACTACTAGGAGCAAGGACGCTACTAGGGGCTCCTGGCCTTACTACTAGGAGCAAGAAGCTACTAGGGGCTCCTGGCCTTACTACTAGGAACAACAAGCTATTAGGGGCTCCTGGCATCGCTACTAGGAGCAAGGACGCTACTAGGGACTCCTGGCCTTACTACTAGGAGCATCGCTACTAGGAGCAAGGACGGGGGCTCCTACTAGGGGCTTCCGGCATCGCATATATTAGGAGCAAGGACGCTACTAGTAGGGGCTCCTGGCCTTACTCTTACTACTCGGAGCAAGGACGCTCTAGGGGCTCCTAGCCTTACTACTAGGAGCAAGGACGCTACTAGGGGCTCCTGCATACGCTACTAGGGGCTCCTGGCCTTACTACTAGGAGCAAGGACGCTACTAGGGGCTCCTGCCCTTACTACTAGGAGCAAGAAGCTACTAGGGGCTCCTGGCCTCACGACAAGGAGCAAGAAGCTACTAGGGGCTCTTGGCCTTACTACTAGGAGCAAGGACGCTACTAGGGGCTCCTGGCCTTACTACCAGGAGCAAGAAGCTACTAGGGGCTCCTGGCACTGTTACTAGGAGCAAGGACGCTACTAGGGGCTCCTGGCCTTACTACTAGGAGCAAGGATGCTACTAGGGGCTCCTGGCATCGCTACTAGCACCGTTACTAGGAGCAAGGACGCTACTAGGGGCTCCTGGCCTTACTACTAGGAGCAAGGATGCTACTAGGGGCTCCTGGCATCGCTACTAGGAGCAAGGACGCTACTAGGGGCTCCTGGCCTTGCTACTAGGAACAAGAAGCTACTAGGGGCTCCTGGCACCGTTACTAGGAGCAAGGACGCTACTAGGGGCTCCTGGCCTTACTACTAGGAGCAAGGATGCTACCAGGGGCTCCTGGACATAGCGCAAGAGATCCGCCGAGGTCATCTTCCAGTCCGCGGCCTTCCCTGTGCGCACGCGCTCGGCATAGTCTTCAGCACGCTGTCGTGACTCCTGGAGACCCCAGGAGCGACGTAGGTGGACCAAATGTGGAGCTGGACAGGTTAGAGTCGGTTTGAGTACATCAAGGCTTTTTTTCCAGCCATACCTCGCGCCGACCTGGTCAGGACGGGCTTATTGCAAGGCGTTGGCACAGCCAAAGAACGGTAATTAAAAATCTCTGTTCAATGCGGCTGCATATATTCTTGCATCATCGGTGTTTTCATCGAAATTACGATGTCTCAAAACGTTTTCGTATGCAAATTTCTTTGTGATATGCAGCCAGTTTTGCCTCGGTTTCCCAACTCGTTTGGCGCCGTAATCAACTCTGGATGCAGTGCTATCAACGAATGATACTTGTCTCATGGGGTCATCATTACTGCTTCTAATTATATGCCCAAGTAATTTACATCTTCTGTGCATATGGTAATCACTGAAACGTATAATTTGTCTGTTATCGCCCCGAGTTGGGAAGGCAATGGCAGTTGCTTCCTCAAGAATCTTTTGACTCGTACATGACCGATCTATGAAAGTAGGCGGTCTTTTGAGAATCTTTCTCAAGCTTCTTAATTGGAAAGCATCTAGTGATTTGCTTAGCGCCTGGGTTAAATGTATAGTTTCCAACCCATATAAAAGCTTACTCCGGATTATGGCATCAAAAATGATTAGCTTCCACTTTTTGCTGGCTCCAGAAGCTTGCCAATAGGCGCTGAGCTTGAACTAGGTCCTTCTGACCTCTGACATTTTATTGAGGATTTCATGTTTTATATTTACTGTCCTGTTTATCTCATTTCCAAGATACATGGCCTCAAATTCTTTGTTCAAAGGGGTCCCAACATGAAAATGAATACAACCGTCGTTGTTCATAGTGATAGCAACACATTTGTTTTTATTGAGACCAAGTCCGTATCCACTGGAGATTTTCTCTGTCAATTTCAGCAATTCGTTTAATGCTCGGTTGTTCCGTGAGAAAAGTACAGTGTCATCTGCATAATAGATCCTGTCAAAATTAACCCCTGGGATTCGATTATTTGTCACATAAGCAGAAATACTTTGTTGAATGTCAATGTCGATGCAGGTCATGACTAATACAAATAGGAAAGGTGACAGTGGGCAACCTTGTCGGATCCCAGAGGATTGAACTTTAAAATCGGAACAACCGAATTCGTCCTTGACATAAAACTGAGGCTTTGCATAACAGTCTGCGATGACTTCTGTATACTGCGAATTGAAACCCAGTCGGCCAAGGGCAACAAGAAGCTTGTCATGTTGAATTTTATCGAATGCTTTTTCCCAATCTAGGAAGGCAATGCTCAGCTTCGCCCCCTTAATTTCGGAATAATCTTGAATTCGTCTGAGAATATAGATGGCATGTGAAGTAGACTTGCTGGGCCTGAAGCCGTACTGGGTTTTAGACAGTAGATGCTCTGTGGCTGCCTGCATTCTGGTCCTGATCATCACCATGTATATTTTATAGAAACTGTTGAGTAAGGAGATTGGTCTGTAATTGGAAGCAATATCTGTATCCCCTTTCTTGAAGATAGGGACAACACGGGCCATGAACAATGCCGACGGCGCAGTTTTTGTATTCCACCAGCTGTTGATAACAGATAAAAGAACCCGCCGGTTGGCATTGTCCAGCCACTTGATCAGTTCCATAGTTAGACCATCAGGGCCAGGTTGTTTGTTGGGCTTTGCCGCCTTGATGGCTGCACAGAGCTCTTGCATTGTGAAACTCTCTACTCCTGCATCGTTGCTATCTACAAGTTTGCTGTGGTTGATTTCGTTTTCAGCTTGGTTGCTCCAGTGTTTTTGTTCTAGATAGTTCGCTATAGTCTCAGCGCGTTGGGCCAAAGGGACATGCTGACCATCCATGTTCTTCATTTTCACATAATTGGGTATGAATTTCTTTTTTAATCCCTTAACCGCTCTCCATAAACCTTTCTTATTGGGATCTTGGGGGTTCTCATTGAATTGTTCTATCAAATGGTCTTGCCTGTCCCTCCGGGCCATTCGGGCAATTTCCCTGTTGAGGTTCGTTATTTCCTTTGCTGTGGTTCCGTTTCGGGCCTTTTCGTTTCTCTCTTCAATTTTTGCCCAAGTACTTTGACGGATAATTTTTTTCGTTTTATTCGGAGGTTCTATCCTTAGTGAGCTTGCGGCCGCGTTTTTCATGGCCTCTGTGAGTGAATCCAAGTCGCATCTTTTCCCCTCTAGCAAAGACCGAATGTTATTATTGTAGAAAATCCATCTGTCTGAGTCAGGTTTCGCATATCGCGACGTACGTGGCGCATTATCCTTTTTAAATGTAGGGAAAGAAAGATTGAGCTTGCATTCCAACACAAAATGGTCTGAATCAAAACGAACATCTAATCTACTTTGGATATCTGATATTGCTCTTTGCTCGATCTGCCCACAGAGCCAGTAATCGATCTGTGCATATTTTATTGCGTCATATGGGGGGCCATTGTATTCTTCGTTTTCATCCATATGGACTTTTTCCTTGTAAGTGACTAACTTTTCAGGCGGTTTCGAAAACAAGCTGTTTGCAACTTGAAGGCGGTGTGATTTGCAAAACCCAAGGGAAAGTGCCCTATTTTCTTTTGTATGTTCATTCATGTTATCTAGATATTCCATTCCTCTGCCTATGATATGTGGTCCACATACATCGATATCGTTGTCTCTAAAGTAATGAATACGGGCGTTGAAGTCTCCTCCAATCAAGAAGCGCCCTTTTATTCGCGACACTTCTGTGGATAGTTGGTCGTAGAATTCCTCTTTCTGTTCAATAGTGTGTCCGCTGTGAGGTGCATATGCACAAATAAAGGAAAGAGGTGAGCCCTGTGCTTCAATCGTGGCTGTTATTATCCGGCCGTTAATTTGTCTAATATCTCGCAGACTTGGAAGGAGTGATGAATTAATCACTATTCCTACTCCGGCATTTTCAAAGTCCTCCGATGTTCTGTAGTTTGCTCTCGCCCTTCCAGGGTTTATGTGTTCGTCCCTTTTTTTCATTTCTCGTTCTCTTATTTTGGGGTCAATATTACTACTAAAGAAACAAGTTGAGCTGTCCCATTTTTCCCAGCTGGAGGTATTAACGTTGGTCTCTGTTAGAAGTAGTATATCGTATGAGTGCTTCTTCATAATATCATCAATTACTTCCCGTTTGGTAAGGTGATTGCATCCTCTTACATTCAAAGTGGCAACTTTCAAGCGACTTCCGTGTTTTAGCTTCCATTGTTTCGCCTCATTTTACATCAAGGCTTACTAAGTCTTACTAGTGACGTTACTGCGGATTCGCTGCTGCACATGCTTGCACCTCTATTTCAAGAGGAATGATCACCAATCTAGTGGGGTGAACTCATCAATGTCCATGATGTTGTTATTATGCCTCTTGACAGCGCCATTGGGCCAGCAATTCTTGGTTTGTATGGCTTTTCACACCCAAATGTCAATGCTTGGCTACTGGGTTGCAAAACCGTCCTTGATGGTATCAAATTGCTCCAGGCGAGATTCTGCGGTCTCCAAGACCTGCCGGCTGCCGAATGGACTCTTAAAACGCCGGCCGATCCGGATCTGACTCTCCATCTCGAGAGAAGAAATTGGGCGAGGTTGCCCCATTTCAAGACAATGGTTTGTTCTTTTCATACGATTCTTCCAGTCTTCTAGTTGGACCGACCAGTGCAAGAGAAGGGTGAAGAAATGGCAAATGTTTGGTGGGGTGGTGGATCACTACTGGCATGTTATTCCACCTGGCAACAATAAGTTTCATCACCCAACCAAGCAATTTTCACAGGGAATGGTTGCCAGCACTCAAGTCCAAGGAACTCGCTGCAGGGAGCTAAGCGATGCAGGCGGAGCTATTGCCAAGTAGGGCTGCTTCAAGAGCTCGTGAACCTCTGCGATGGCTTCCCGCAACCTTGGAGGCTTTGGAAGGCCCATCTTTGGTCTTAGGTATTGAATGGTCAAGCAACATGATCGCACGAATTTCATCACTCTTCAGAGACTTTAGATTACATGGTATTACATTACATGTATATATTATATATTGAGGAACAGTTGTACAACTCAACTTGACTGCCAAAGTTCTCTCACCTCCTTCCCCAACATTCTGTTTGCAAACCGGGGTGCATTTCTGCATCGCCAGTCCGCAAGCCCATACGCAGGCGGCCTTCCAAATCCGCGCGCACCGCAGCGCTTTCCTGGAGAGCCTCCTGGAAAGCACAAGCACTCGGTATCATGGGCCCAACAAGCATCTGCTTGGAAACGTAGTATATAACTGGTGACAAGACTCTCCAATCCTGGCTATCACCCACATGCAATCAACATGCGCGGAGTACATGAATGTTTTCTTGGTTGCTTGCTAAGGATCATCGGTGCGGAAGCGAAGCAAATATCCAGCAATTCGGTCACGCAAAGCAGAACTAGACTAAGCTAGTATTGGGTACAAACATACCAGTACCAACATCTAACGTGATGGAGCTGGTTTCATGGGTAAAAGGATAGCAGTCAGGCTTACGACTGAGTTCGTTGGTTGGTGCGGTAACCGGTAGGGCATTACGATCTGTTATAGTTTATATTATTTCATAACATGACCGGACTGAGTCGCTTCACACCTGACCCCCACCAGGACCAGGGTTGAAGCTTCAAGGCTAACGCAACAAGAAGTTATTAATGTCGGATCAAGGTCTTTTTCCGCAGGTCAGAATACATTTCATCGCGTCCGGGTCCATATTTCAGTTGATGGTTGATGGTTGGCGACGGGTCAGTCTCCTTGACGCGTGCCTCCCGTTCAGTGGCTTCTTTGGTCTGCTCACTGGCCTGAAGACGGCTCACTCGTTGTTTTGAGTATAATATAACCCCGCTGGTTGGAAAAATAGGATCAGTCAGCAAACCCCATGTTCTGACCAGCCACAACTGGTTTCTTCTGGAGCTTCCCTCGTGACATGCTTGGTTGATCCCCAGAATGCTGTATCAAGGAGGCCAGCTCTGACTTGGATCATCCAGCCCAATCACCAGAAACAGGTAATTTCCTGTGGTAAAGAGAATGAACCTGGAGCCTGTTGGACAGAACCCGCATCGGCACTGATTTGGCTTGGATAATGGAAGTAAAGCGTTCTTTGCCAGTGTTTGCCAGGGCACAAACTTCTTGTAGCGCTCCTGGCGGCTGGCCTCCACCTTGTTTTCCAAGTCCCTCATACTCACGAGCCAGTTCGCGTCCGCAGCTTCCGGGCCTCACAGGTCAAAAGGAAGCGAGGCTTCCGACCATAGTCACTAGTCTGGGTACTTGGACTTTCACATTTGGTGGCGACCAAAATCGCAACAGCTCGGATATGTTGCTTGCCTGGAGCAGACATGATGGCTGGAGGCTCAGCAGACAACTCCACGTCTTGCAAACAATATTCCGGTATCATCTTCAAGATCTCCACCCCCTGACACAATCAAACACTCAAGTCGGCCAACTTCTCAATCTGGAATGTTGAACTACTGATTCAGAAAACAGAAACCGGTAATCCTCCTCTGCAGTTCAGGCTTTGCCAGGCCTCAAGATCCACCTCGTAGAGTCCAGTCCTTGGATCAAAAATAACCACTTGGCTCACTGTCTGCTTCGGCAACTATGTTTCGGTAACCAAACAATCTGTTTCGGCAACCAAACCGTCTGATTCAGCAACCAAAAGGTCTGCTTCAGGAACCGAAGGTCTGGTTCGGTAACCAAAAGGTCCGCTTCGGAACCAAAAAGGTCTGCTGCAGTAACTTTTGGTATATAACCTAAAGGCCTGCTGCGGTAACTGAGTGTGGCAACTAAACTACCATCATCCACATGGTTGGTTTGTGCATCATTTCGTTTTGGCCAATGACAATGTTGCAAACACGCTGACGAGACTGTGAAACCGATGGCAATGATGAGCATTGCCCCCCAACCCCCCAACCCAATTTAAGCATACACTGTCTGCGTGACAACATTGTGACAGAGCAATGAAAATGATGAGCCTTGGCCCCCCCACAACCCCCCCCCCGCTACCTATGTAATTAAGCATGTCCTGGCTCCATGACAATGCCACCGATGACAAAATGAAGCCAATGACAATGATGAGCATGGGCCGGCCCCCGCCCCAATTTGATCAGATTCTCGTTCGATGACAATGTTGTGAAACCGATGACAATGATGAGCATTGGCCCCGCCCCACCAACCCCCGCGCCCCAATTCAATCTTACTCTCGTTCGATAACAATGTGGCAAAGCCAGTGACAACGTTATGAAATGATGTAACCGATGCATGCCTCAACTTGCATGGCGCAGCTGAGGGGTTCTGGGCTGCAGAAACGGGTACAGTAGTTGCTTGGCTGCTGAGCCGCGCATGTTGGTTGCTTAAAAAACGGGTCTTGGTTGCTGAAACACGTAGTTGCTGAAACGTGGTCGCTGAAACGGGGTTGCTGAACGCTTGGTTGCTGAAACGGTCAATGACCAGCCACTTGGGCTGCTCCTGCTAACGAGACCTCGGCCATTTTTCACGTCTTGAGGAGTCGCCCAACTTCAGCCAAAAACTCAGTCGGCGTTTTGCCCAACATCTGCTGACGCCACATCCACTGAAAGCATTTTCGCTTCAGTATCGGATTCAACAGCGTGTGTCCGTTCTCTTTTTTGGACAGAAAAGCCTGCGGACAGAAACGGTGTCAGCAGCAAACAAATCGTGCGAGTCACCCACACCGTGAGAGGTTCGTGCATATAATAACATCGAACAAACACTGTCCATGTCTGTGAAGTGGGAATATGTCTACGCTACATCAACACAAGAACATCATTAGATCCCCACCCCCCACCCCACCCTCCCATGTGTGTATGTCGGGTGCTACTGAAGCGAAAACGGTGTAAAAAGTCAAAAATGCACAGAACGCCACGGCCATCTATGGCACATGCTCCAACTACACATGGCACAATCCCAATTAGACTCATCGGTCAAAGATCAAACCTATGTATTGTATACAGGCTCAAAAGCTCCAGGCACTAGACATGTATCTGGAGGCCAAGCATCTCGTGGCTGTAGTCTAACACCCACCCATGCGCTCCATCTAGCTCCGGTCGGCCGACGATGTTTTGCAGAATCACCTGACTGGCTTTGACTTTGGACCAAGCAAGTTAAGTTGTCTTGCCCTGGAACCTGGAACTCTCCAATTTTTACATATGGCAAGTTCACCCAGTTCATTGGATGTTCAAGTAGCGTCAGATCCTCATGAGGGAAAACAGACTGCTCATGATGAATACTGAGTGACAAAAGGACTTCTGTTTGAACCACATCATCAACGAGCGGCCTCTGCCCCACGTCGAATGCCAGGACCACTCAAGGCCAGCACCTCAACCTGTCCTGGCAGACCTGTCCGGCAGTCCAAGGAGGTATAGAGAAAACCCAATCAATTCTTTTTGATCTATTCACAGAGATTCTCGCAAAGTTTATCATATTATCTTATGATCTAGGGACTGAAGGTTCCATTGTTTGGAGATATCCTCAAGGAGATATAGTATGATATAGTGGTCTCTTTGAAGGATCAGGACCATCTGTTTCCTGTTTGCTCTCAGAAATGCTTTCCTGAACTAAAACTTCGAGCACACTCTTGTTGCGCATGATTGCTCACGGGGCAAAATGTTGAGAGCACCCCGGCCTCCAATGCTATGTCGCACCTCCGGGGTATAGGTACCTTCCTTGCAAGGTCTTCACAAAACCCAATCGAGACCAAGCAAAAGCACAAGCCAGCTTCAAGCATAATTCAGCAGACAAGCTGAAGACGAGAAAGAAAAGGGTAAACAAGTTGGGGCACCAAGCCAAAATCTGTGACAGCGACACGACTCTTTGTTTAGAAGCAGGAACTCTGTAAGCGGAAAAGAAATTCTCTGGATTCTCTGGGGCCCTTGCATCTTGCAGACTTGGCAAGCCATGCTCGGGCACCAAAGTCGAGGAATTGTCATGATCTTCCTCTTCATGGGCTGAGCCCTCCTGCAAGTCTAGGAACTCTGATGAATTTGATACCCCCCCACTGCACCAAGGAAGATGTTGCCCTTCTTGCATCAAAATCCTAGATCCTCCTTGAAAAAAGCACTTATGACTCACCAAAAGCACATCTGCCAAAAATTGGTTCAAGGGCCTGCCGTTGGTCTCTAGCGCCTCTCCTTGGGAGGTTCTCGTGGATCAAATGCCAAAATGTGATCTGGCAACTTGGAGTGGTATTCCGTGCCGTTCGTCATGCGGACCACATTGTAGTTGCCATGCACATCTTGGACACCCTCCACCAACTTGTCATTATGCAAATAGTTTTGGAATTCTCTCGCCTGCGGAAGTTGGAAACAGGCAACTGCTCAAGTCTCAAGTCAACCCTGCCAATGCCGGCCTGATTCCGCTGGAAAGTATAGCATGCCACGATCAGTCCCAGCGCGGTGCAACCAGAAAACACCAGCGAAGTAATCTGTGCAGCCTGGCACCACCTAACCTCTGTTGTTGGACCTCCAAAGCAGCGGAACTTCTCGGGAACAAGCTGAGTTCCTGCCAAGAATGTTGCAGGAATAGAACATATTGCGCTTGTCTTCAATTCACGACATCAAGCAAATAAAACGCCGAATGTACTTTATTGATATTCTTTGGGCCCTCTCCTTGACATTCCAAGGTTTCCGGCACCGGATAGTACATGTCCGCACAACGTGCAGTACAAACCAGGTTTGGTCTTGAACCTTCCACGCAGGTGGAAAGTGCAGAATTTGGAATGTTCTTGTGCAGCGGCGCGAGGCAATCACCTAGACGGCACAGCGCGTGTGCACAGCGTGCGGATCCGTACGGATGACGCCTACATACAGGGCCATCGTTATGCTGGGGCAAGTGGAGATTCGGAGAAGGCGAAAGCAAACTCTTCAAGCAGCATCAGAGAGTTTTTCCTCCCACCCGGAGAAGCTTAACAGGTCCTGTTGGAAGAGTCGGAAGAATCCGGGTGGGTCTGCAGGAAGCTGTGGTGCGAGTTTCATGGTCTGGTGCTAAAGTGGCAAAAAATGTCAGCCTGTACTGTACTTGGCCCTAGTTGAGTGGTGTCCAGGAGCACCGACGAGGCGATTTGAGCCCAACCTACAATGGAGCGGCATTGAGGACCAGTGTAGCCCTTGTCACAATTGCATTCGCAACTGCCATCCTCTCGGCGCTTGCCGGTGGCTGTCCCATGAAAGACGCAATCGAAATCGGAGCATTCCTCGGAGGCAGAAAACGCAAGGCGACTCACAGGACCTTTTTGTGCCTGTGGGGGCCCCGTGCCTCCTTACTTGTTCAAGTAAAAGCCTACCTCACCACATGACGATATCGTTCGGGTTAGGGCACACAAGAAGAATCCATCCACCCCTCAAATTCAGCTGGACAAGTGGAACCTCTGCGGCCACGTCTCCGGCGGCGTAGTGCTGGTGGTTTCCTTGTAGGCATCTGGAGTGTTGCCAAACTCGTCAACAGGAGCTTCGTTGACCCAGATTTGGTCACAGGTGAAGCCAAGTGGGAGCAAAAAAGTACCATCCGCAGTGCCTCAGAACAGACGAATTCTGGATGCTTGACACCTGGTTTCAATTGAACTCACTGTATTCAGCTCTCTCGGTGTCTCCAAGATACACGTGAAGCTGGGGTGATTTGGCTGGTAGCCCTCTTGACAGCTCGGCGTACAAACTCCATTTGGGTAGATCCAATTACCCTCTTCGCAGGCAGGATCAAGAGAATTTTGCACACCTGGTACCTTGCGAGTTGAAGAACTTGCTTTTTTGCTGGATATAGGGTCTGGGTGGGTCTGCTCACTAACTCCAGGCTTTGTGGATGACTCTTCAAAAGATTCGGGCTGCTGCTGTTGAAAAATTGAGTGTACAGTGTACAGGGTGAAATTGCTCGCAACAAGTATTTGCATGCTTCGTGGAAGGCCATCCAACGCTACCTTTCACCTCTAGAAGGAAATGGTGTGTTCTGGATTCTGAACCTTTGCTGTGCAACCAACGAGTACGACTCTTTCTTATGCTGAGGTGTCATGTCCACCCACAACGTGGGTGAACCGACCCTTTGCCTGGCAAAGAGGAATCTCACACGAATCACCAGCACGATCTGGACTGCATTCGCACCTCATCTCATGGGGTGAAGCTGTGAAGCCGGGGTGAAGCTGGACCGTGTCTCACTGTTCGGCTCTTGGCCAGCCTAAGAGGGCCATTACTTTGATGCTCTGATGGATCTATCTCTTTCCTCCGTTGCGGGTCTTTCTATTCCCACTTCATGCAATCGTGTCGATTGGGGACACTGCAAAATAAGACCTGGAAGTTTGGAAGCTTCTCTACTTCTTGTTTGCAAGTGACTCAAGTGCATTCCACTGAGAGTCCAACAAACAGTTCGGGCCGTTCTCTTTGCTCCCAATTGCCACGCCAGCACCGTTGCAGTCCTCAGTGGTTGCTGATCCAAGCATCTCAAGGGGTGGTCCTGTAGTGTAGTGAGAAACATCCAGGTTGGTCCACAGGAACTGACCGACTCAGTGTGCCAGAGGTTTGGATTCCAGTCGAATTGGCCTGGACATGTGGAAATTGCGAGGATTATGAGGTTAGATCTACACCCAGGGCGATTAATCAACCGCCGTCACTTTGAGATGCATTCGAGACATGAAAAGTCTTCTGGACATGAAACAAAGCATTTGAGACATCGCTGTTTCATCGCTATTTCACATCTCTGAGTTTGTGTGTTTCTACTAGCGATGGCCTCCGACCTAATGAACTAAATCTTGCCATGGAACAATCTGGGAATCACAAGTGCAGGACACCAACTCCACAATTTTGGTACGGTACCTGGACACCACAGAGGGAAGGTGGCATGAAATGCTAGCTGCTAGGTATCCACCGTTTGATGCCAGCTTCATGCTGCGGCTTTGCAAATTTGCAGCAGTCAGGTTTGATATACTTTTGCCCACTTGCCCAAATCCTCTTGTCCCAAGTCAACTTTGATATTTCGGGGGGGCAAAAGGTTTGAACGTTTCCTCCATCTGCAGTGCCAATGCTGTCTGCAAAGCATCGAAATCCGCACTCGGGCACTGGATATAAAAGCTGCCCAAACCATCGTTGCTGGGATACCTGCAACTCAGAGGCAAACGCAGCCCATCTGCAAAAAAGAAGAACTCACTCCCTTTCTGGTCCAATGCCGCATTGTCCAATACCAAAAGGTCAGTTGCTTGACGTTAAAGACTTGGATTCTCTGTCCAATTAGTCACTCTTCGTTGTCAGCGGTTGGCCTGCATTTCAGATTCCAGATGGTGTCCCCTAAGCTTGGCGTTGGATTGAACGTCGGCTGACGTGCAATCTCGGTTCCGTAGCCTCAGGGCACTGAAGCTCAGACTAAAAGACCGTCAGCCGCCCGCAGAGACGAGATAAGGTGTTACTAGTAGCTTCTTGTTACTAGTAGTAAGGCCAGGAGCTACTAGTAGCGTCCTTGCTCGTAGTAGAAAGGCCCTTTGTTCCTAGTAGAAAGATTGATAAAAGTGGCTTGTAAAGATATGTAACCTCAATTAACTAAAGCTTGAGAGCCCCACTGCTGGCCATCAAATCAACCACGTCCGTTTCCAAGACCCACTTTCCGGCCTGCCCGCAAGTGAAGTGCATCTCTGAGACTGTAATATGCTTTAATGCGTATCCAACCTGTAAAAGCTGTCTTATGTAGTGTGTGTGTGTGTGTCGCACCCTGGTTCTAAGGGTTTTCATGTTCCCACTTTTTCCACTGCAGCAGGGGGATGGAGAGGACATGTGAGGCTCCATCCAACGAAGCTCCTCACATGATCCCAGGATATCGGCAAGGACGCTTGCCGACGTACCTGCAATCAACTGCTGCTCACGCTGTTCCACTTTTCCTTTTGTTTCCATGGTGGTTCATGATACCTTCCCTAAGCCATTCCACTTTCTCACGCAGCTGGATTGTACAGAGGCTCGCCACCGCACACCTGTCGAAACTTTGTTCAACCATACGGTTCTTGCTGACCCATGCGCTTTTCCGTTCCCTCACCTTCCTTCCCATCGTGGCAATTGAGTCTAACTGAAAACCAATGTCGAAGTGTGGACCGCTCAGTCTTCCCACTTGGGTACTGGGTGTGACCCTCCGAAAGGAGGCACTGAAATCATACCGGAAATCACCGACCTCTCAATTTTGTAACTGCCTTTTCGTTCGTTCATTTTATCACTGAATTAACGGATTTTCGAGCCGCGGGCTATAAACGATGGACTTCCCACCAGAATCTCTGAACTCTTTCAGTGTTGCAAGGTCATGATATCGGTTTTGTGCATGTTGCGTTTTTT